CCGTTGGTCCAGCACAGAGCTGGGGATGGGCTCAGGAGCCGTGGGTCCGGCACAGAGCTGGGGATGGGCTCAGGAGCCGTGGGTCCGGCACTGAGCTGGGGATGGGCTCAGGAGCCGTGGGTCCGGCACAGAGCTGGGGATGGGCTCAGGAGCCGTGGGTCCGGCACTGAGCTGGGGATGGGCTCAGGAGCCGTGGGTCCGGCACTGAGCTGGGGATGGGCTCAGTGAGTCCCTCCACATTTCTGAGCTCTGACTTCCTCCACCAGACTAAAGAGCCACACCCGATTCAGGTCTGTTATCATTTGCTTTCTGTTACTGTGATAAAACACTCTGGACCAAAAGCAGCTGAGCGGAAGAAAGGGCTTATTTCAGTTTGCAGATTACAGTCTGTCACTGAGGGAAGTCAGGGCAGGAGCCCAAGCAGGAGCTTGAAGCAAAAACCATGAAGGAATGCTGCTTGCTGGCTCCCTCTCGAGGCTCATGCTTAGCTCGTTTTCTTATGCAGCCCGGGACCATCATTCCAGGGAATGGTGCTGCCCACCGTACACCGGGCCCTTCTACATCAATTAATAATCAAGACAGTCCTCCCATAGACGTGCCCACAAGCCAGTCAGATCTGGGAAATACCTCAAATTGAGACTCCCTTCTCAAGTGACTCTAGGCTGTGTCAAGTTTACAATTAACACCAACTAGGGAGAGACCAAAGATGCAACAGCCAAGTGGGGCTCCGAGCCATCCTTCTTTTTAAAAAAAATGTTTTATTCATTATTTCTATTTTCTGTGTATGAGTATATTACCTAAATGTGTGTAAGTTCACCTGTGTTCTGGAGTGCCCAAAGAGGCCAGAAGAGGGTGTCGGATCCCCTGGAAATGGAGTCATGGATGGTTGTTAGCCACCATGTGGGTGCTGGGAATTGAACCCAGGTCCTCTGCAAGAGCAGCCATTGCTCTTAACCACTGAGCCATCTCCAAGCCATTCTTGCCTCCTTTATTCTCCACATAGGCCCAAGAAAGGACTGTCCTTCCTAGGGATAGCTGGGTCAGGCTCTCTGCTGCATCAGCCATAATCATTCACTTGGAATGAGGTCAGTCCAAGCATCACCTGGAAATGTCACAGATGATGTCTTCACTGAGGTTGGCTGTGCACAAGGCCACAGGTGGCAGAGTATGGGGAGGGTACAGTTCTCAGATGAAATTGTATGACAACGAAGCACAGCCTTTGTCAGCCCTGGCAGGGATGGCTTTCTCAGCCCTCTCTCAGCAGGCTCTCTGGCAGCACTCTCAGTTAGATGGCAGGAAAGGACAAATGTCTCCATTCCCAGGGGCCTGGCCAGTTTAGTCAGGAGGTTTCCTTGGGGTCGTTACCATTCTTAGGAGAAGGAACTGGAGTTGAGCCCTGGGGACATGTGACTACCTCCAGCTCCGGGAAAAGGGGAGCTAGAGAGGACAAAGAAGACCTAGGCTCTGAGGAGTGGCACACAGGAATGATGAAGCCGTGGCTTCCTCTGTCCACTTCAATAGCGGCATGTGCCTGAGTCCCATCAGGAGGTGTCATTTCCTCCAGGCCCTGGCTATGCTGCTCTCCACATAGGGGAAACTTCCCTCAGAACTGGGTTCCTTGTTGGAGGTGGGGTGTGTGATGGACATTCGACTCTCTCAGGGCTGCTGAAAGTAAGATCTCACCCCTCTCCCCAGAACACCACATTGCATGTTCTACATTGCCCTGGAGACTCATAGGCCTCACCACCTACCCATAGGATGATAGAAGTATGTGTTCCTCAGTCTGCCACCAGTCAAATCCCCTAGGAGTGTTGTTAAGATGCAGACTCAAGAATCCCACACTTGACCTGCCATATCCTGAAATTTCCTTTGGAGAACAAACCTTTTGATTTGGAGCAACACCTAAGGCATAGTCCTCAGCAGCAAGCCTTCCTGCTCCTTCTGGGACGGAAGGCAGGTTCTGTGGTTGGGAGGGCATGGAGCAGGCTGGTATGCTGCCAAGGTCCAGGAGTCTTGTATTCTTGTTCCAGCACTGTCGTGAGCTGGGTGGATGATTTGCAGACGGCCCTCAGGTACCCCTTTGCCTTGCTGAGGACATAAGAGATCCGGTGGTTGAGGGTCCCTCTGCTCATTGTAGCTCATTCTACCCTTGCTGGGTAGCTTTTCAAGCAAACCAGGGCTGGATACTTGGGTTTCAGATCCAAGAGCCCATCCACACAGCTGGCTGTAAGCATGTTACCTTGATGGCTGTTTATTTCCTATGCAGGGGTGGCTTGGGGTTATCACATCTGACGTTTAAAAAAAAAAAGACCCATGCATGTATGCACATTTATTTATTTTCCATATTTTATACATACAGTTTTCATTGTGAAAGCAAAATATTCTCATAGCAAAAGGAAAAAAAAAAGAAGAAACTCAGGTGTTAAAGGTGTCTTTCCACCCACCTGGATGATTCTTTTAAAAGATAATTCTTTGGGGCTGGAGAGATGGCTCAGTGGTTAAGAGCATTAGCTGTTCATGCAGAGGACCCAGGTTTGAATCCCATGACCCACATGGTGGTTAATAACCACTCATAACTCTGGTTACACGGGATCTGACACCCTCTTCTGTCCTCTGCAGGCACTGTATAACTTGGGTGCACTTAACACACATGCAAACATAACACTCATACACATAAAATAAAAGTAAGTAAATAAAAAAATTAAAAAGGGGATTATTATTGACAATTGATTTCAAGTGCATTATTGGAAATTTGCCAGGGGTGGGGGGAGAGCCAATACACAAGGCAGAACACACTTTCCAGAGCACTTACAAGTAGGGCATACACCCAAACTTCCAGATTTCCCAGTTTCCCAGAGGGCTGTGCTCCACTAACTAGGGCTATAGAGAGCTTGTGTAAGATATACAAACACCAGCACTTCATTTTTACCACACAGACACCTGTAGTACCGCAACTTGTTTCATTCATTTGTTTGGTGTTTCAGATATCATCTTGTTATGTACCACAGGCTAACCCAGAACTCTCTGTGTAGCCTAGTCTGGACCTTGATTTCGAAGTCCTCCTATCTCAGTCTGCCTCTTTATTCTTAATATGCCATGGGCATTTTTCCATATTTGTATGTGTCAAATGTTTTTAAAAAATATTATTGCATTTTTGAGATTTTCATACACTATAATATTGATGGTATTTAGGGCCTCTCCTATCTCCACCTCCTCTTACTGCCCCCCACCCAATTTAATGTACTCTATTATATGTACAGTAAGGCCTACAGAGTCTAATTTGTGCTCCCAAATGTCAATCAGTGTGAATCTATCCACTACAGCCTTGTTGACCTACCAAGACTCCCATGCTTAAAAGAGTCTGTCTCTCACCGTCCCAGTAGACATCAGTTGCCAAAAACTCCTTATGTTGTGTTGGGACTTCTTACACACTTGCCCATGTCTATGCTGAGATTTTGTCTGGCTTGAGTTTGCAGGGGACTTGTACATGCTGTCACCATTGCTGTGAGTTTCTATGAGTCACCATTGCTGTGAGTTTCTATGAGTCACCATTGCTGTGAGTTTGTATGAGTAGCTGCCCAGCTATCTGGAAAACTCTACTTCCATGTGGTCCTCTACCACCTCTGGCTCTTACAATTTTTCTGCCCCCTCTTCCACAATGATCTCTGAGTCTTCAGAGGTCAAAGTTTGATCTAGGTGTCCTATTCAGGGATAAGCACTCTGCAGCCTCTTGTTCCCTGCACCTTGGCCAGTTTTGGGTTTCTGTGTTAATCACCATTTGCTGCACATAGTTATAATACCGTAACTAACAGAAAACTACTATTGGGTTTTTCCCTATGCCTTGTGACCTGTCTAGCCTCAGGCTCCTAAGCCCGATATCAATGTCAGATATGGGCTCGATTCTATGAGTCCAATTAGAGAGTGGTTGGTTATTCCCATAATATTCATGCCACTAGTGCACCGGTGAGCTTATCTTGCCAGGCCAGTTGTAGTTCACAGGATTCTCAGCTGGATAATACTGATGATTTTTTTTTCTTCCAGTAGCATGCATAGCACCTTTTAGCACCATGAAAGCTAGGCAGTAGAGCTGAGGCTCTGAAGTCAGCACCAGCTTCATTTCTCCTTGTTTTTTCTACAGCTCATGTACATAGTATTGTGGTGGTTTGAATGAGAATGTTCCCTATCGGCTCCAAATATTTGGACATTTTGTCCCCAGTTGGCGGTGCTGTTTTGGGAGGTCTTGGAAGGTGTGGCCATTCTGGAGGAAGCACATTACTGTGCGTGTGTGGCAGGTTGGGGGGGGGGGCAGTTACAGAGTTCCTAAGTCTTGCCAGATTCCCAGTCTCTCTCTGCTTCCTGTGCTTGCCTAAAGATGTAAGCACTCCACCGGCCATCTCCTGCCACCATATCTCCCTGCCATAATGTACTCTAATCCCTCTGGAACCTGGAACTGGAAGCTCAAATAAAGTCTTCCTTTCATAAGTTCCCTTGGTCATGGTGTTTTATCACAGCAACAGAAAAGTAACTAAAACAAGTATGTTCACCTATATAAAAATCATAATTAAGCAATCTCCAAATGATTTCTATTATCACAAGCAATGATAAGGTGTGATAGTAAACTGTTTTTCACAGATATCTCTGTGTTCTTTCTAAGAGGAGAAAGAGTAAGTCATAAAGTCACATGGATGAAAATACTTTATATTTTGTCAACCATTTGAGTAACAGAAAATGAAATGTATTGAATCTCTCTTCTGAGTACTAAAGGTCCTTTCTAACATAAATCCAGAGAGAGGACAAAAGTCTAGGAATTTCTTTTCCAAAATTGGCTTTAGATTCTTGGTTCTGCCTCCAAACAGCTATGTAAGTCTGGGCCATAAAGAGAACACAGCATTGATCTTCTGAAACCTTCGTTTCTTCCACATGAAATGACAGCCTGGAGGTAGCTTCTATCTCAGCCCTTTCGTTCCCTGAGTTGATTAGTGTTTCAGCTCTGTTTTTGCTTTCCTGGTTATGAAAAAGCATTCGGCTCTTTTGGCTTCATAGGATCGATTCGTTAATAAGCCAATCAATTAAGAACATCCAAACAGTTTCCTAATTACTTGTGGAGCAAGCAGATCTTGGCTGGATATACCTCACAACTGCTTGAGGTTCTGAAATAGTTACTGTGTCTTTCAGAAAGCAGATGCACTGAGACTGAGAGGCGGCTCTGCCCAGTCTGCTGGCTCCTAGGTTGCTGAGTCACAGGAGGTATTTGGTATTTGGGAGGGATGCTGTGGGGGCTTTCATCTCTCTTGCCTTCCCAGAATGAGTAGTTCGAACTGGACCTTCCCTAACAAAGGGGTGATTGTGTGGACCATGGAGCACACAGTGCTATTAATTAGACCAGGGACTTACCCAATTGATGTCTGCCGTGTTTGGGACAAAGTCTCAGATAATAAGGCCTTCCGTTTTCATTGTATTCCTTAGTCATTATCCCATGTGACCCTTTCAGTGCAACAGCTAAAGAGGGGACAGTAACCCTCATTGTTAAGACACAGGTACAGTGTTTCAGCATGCTGGCTTGGGGCCCTGCATGGTCCAAGACTCCATCCTCCCACTCTGTGATGGGCCCACAGCAGGCTACTCTCCGGATGCTTTCTTCTGGTTCATTTTGATGGCTGGACTCCTCTTTAGTGTCCTCTCCAGTTCTGGCATATCCTGTTGGACAGGCTCAACCTCCTTGTATTTTAAGGGGCATGTGCAGGATACAGCATGAAACTTCTCTGAATTTGGGATCCGGCCAATGGAGAGTTTTACTTTCTGAAACACAACAAAGGTGACATAAATGACTGAAGATTATCCCTAGGATCACTGGTTCTTAATCTGTTCTCCACATCCCTTGAAGGTGTTTTTGTAGGGAATCCTGTGATGAACTGTAATAAGCCCAAAGTAGCCAGGGATGGATGACATGGTACGTACATTCAGGCCAGAGATAGACTTTCATTCCCTGACATCACTGGGCCTAAGCCTCTAGGCAGGTTCTAGAAAGCACTGGTGGCTCCCAGAGGAGCCCAGCTGCTCCAATAACTCAATAACTGAACCTGTGAATCAAAATAAGACCACGAGACAGGACAGCTCCAGACAAAAGTGGAAATTGAAGTTAGATGGTTTTCTCCTGCAATTCATCATTCTTGACCCTTACAATGCATATACCACCTCTTCTGCCTTTAAAAAGTTCTCATATTCTCTCCATTCACTTCCCTCCCTATCCCTGCCTCAGCTCCCATCTCTCTCATCTGTAGCCTACATAGATGTAACTGGTTCAGACATGTTACACACGTGAGGTGTCTTGCTGAGTTTGGTTCCTAGTACCCACAGGTGGCTAAAAACCCTTGGTAACTCCAGCTCTAGGGGATCTGATGCCATCTTCTGGCCTCCACAGGCACTGCATGCACATAGTACACTTACATTCACGCAGGCAAAACATAGAATAAAAACAAATAAATAAATGGTGAGCCTTTCAGCACTGCATGACCAACACAAGTAGAAGTTATAGTAATTACACTGAGCACCTAATCTGTGACCATCACATCACAAGCACATAATCTCATTTACTTCTTCAACAACTGGTACAATCAGCATCCCCAATTTTACAGAAAACCGAGGTACACATTTCAAGGAGCTATGCTGCAATCTAGATGCTAGTCTGATTCCACATGAATTCTCTTTACCACCTTGCACTGTGTTTGAGGTCATAAGCCCAGTGCCCTGTCTCCTAGCCCAGTGCTTTTCCTAAATACTGCTTTAGAAGGAAATATTCTGTATCTAGAGGAAAAAATTCATTCATCTTCTGTGTACTTTGCAGACTCCATCCGAGGTCTTGATCTTGTTCCTTCCAGCACCGACTTAGCCTGGCCAGGGCTGGTCTACAGGACTCACCTCCTTCTGGATGCATCGGGTGAGAAACAAGGACACCTCCTCCAGGCTTTGGGGCTTCAGGTCATTCACAGCCAGGACATGATCTCCGTGGTGGAATAAGCACCCTAGGCGTGGGGGACCGTCCCACTGAGCCACACTGCAGTGAGAAGCAGCATATACTGTGAGACAGAGTCATGGGAGGGCAAGACAGGGATGGGACTTGCAGGGTCACCTCACTCTAAGCTGGATCACCCAAAATCTGAAACGAGCTGTCTCCTTTTTCTGTCTAGAATAACTTTTCCTCCACCACTACTTCTTCTCAAGCCCAGTGGAGGCAAACTGCCCTTGCAAAGCCCTGACAAATCCATCCTCCCCTTTTGCTATAATTAATCTCCCCTGCCCCAAGTTTGCTTAATCATGCGACTGTCCTTTTTATCAGGTTATGTTGCCCTGGAACTATAAAGCTACCTTTTTGTTTCTTTTATTGGTGGGTTTTTTTTTTAAATTTTATGCCTCCACTGTTCCAAGAAAACAGAGGATACTCAATCAATGTTTACCAGAAGTGAGCACATAGCATTGAAATGAGTGTCTAATGAGTAAATAAGTGAGTGAACAAATGAGAAAGTTAGCCACAGCCTGATCAAGTATTTATTAAGTCTTAGATGATGAGAAAGTTGGAAAAATGGAACATTAAAGAACTATCCTATAAAAATACAGCCCACTGAGCATGGTGGCACACACCTGCACCCCTTTAATCTTAGTATCCAGGAGGCAGAGGCAGGTGGATCTTTAGGAGGTTGAGGACAGCCTGGTCTACACAGCAAGTTCCAGGCTAGTTTGGGAACAGGGAGAGCCCTGTCTAATAAAAATATAGCCTTCCACTAAAATGAATTAAGCAGTTTTGTTTTGGAGGGAGGGAGACACAGGGTCTCATTATGCAGCCTGGAATCTTCTATGAAGCTCAGGTTGACTTTGAACTCAAAACACTCTTTCCTGAGTCTCTGCGTGCTGAGATTACTGGCCTGTGCCGGCATGCAGTCTAGAAGGATGCAGGCTCAAATAAATAGCGATTATGCTTTTACCAATTAGCTACCACACAGACTTTTTTGTCAGAGTCCCTGAGCACAGGTTAATTTTAATTTGACTATGGCAATCTTAGGCCCTCATACATACTTTTTATTTTAGGTCTTTGATTCTTACTCACGTTGCTCACTTCTCATGCATCGAATATTCACTGTGTATGACTGGGAACAGCATCCTTGAAATATCTGTCCTGCCCTGTCCTCACCTTTGATGATTCAGAAATATGCTACTTCCTAGAATATTGGGTCCTTAAACTCCTTCAAAAGATTAACCTCCCATGTAGCAATACCCTTCCTTGTGCTTCAAGTCCTTATTGTGACAACATCGTAGTCCAAGTCCCCAGTCAGTTTTGTCAAATACAGTATTTCAGAATAAAGCTGTTCTCTTCCCATCTTTGAATCTTGTTCACTGTCAGCGTCATTCAGATCTCCCCCTACCATATCCTCCCTGCGGCTTCGGTGAAAGCAAGATAATTCAGGGCATCGGGAGGAGACAGGAACAGGTTCAGCATCTCTACTCGGCTCTTGTCAGGGATGTTGCTGGGACAGAAAATATTTGTAAAAGTCGCATCAGGCAATGAACTTCGCTTTCTGAGTTAATTTTTAACCTCCTGTTTATGAGATGACATTTTCAAGCTAAAGCTTGTCCAAAATATATGAAGAAAAAATATGAATTTAAGGTGCTGAAAATCATTCATTAGTGTCCTTCCCCGCCCCTCCTGGGATGTGGTAGTAGATGGTAGACAGTGGGGAGAGAGGCAAAAAATGAACTTAATTGATTTTATAATCAACCACAAAGGTCAATTTGCGTATTTGTCTGCTAGAAAGTATTCCATACAAGAGGACATGGTGAATAGTTGAAATTACAACCATCTTATCAAATTCCCTTGACATCACTTAAAACCCCAAGATTTCTCCTTCTGGTCTACAGGAGATTTCTTGCCCATAATTATGCTAATGGTAGAAGCTAGTGAATACTATTCACATCAGTGTGGTCCGGAGTTCTGAGACCCAAAAGACTGGCCAAGGAAGAAAATTTCAAAGTAGTTGAAAAGGCCACCCCTAGCCTGGGGATCACTTTACTTCCAACTCTGACAATCACTGTCCTTGGCCACAAGATCAGTGATACAAAGAAGCCGGTCAGATTCTTGACTGACTTGGAAATTTTTGGGACTACTTCAAAATTTGAATGTACAAATAAGGTCTTCTTTGCTCTTAGGGCCCACAAAGTTTTAGAAATCAGAGCTTTACTTGAGTAATATAGACAATTTCACAACAGTTAGAGAGGCTGATCCCTTATCATCTGTGGTCTCTGTTTCTGCATTGGCAGGTGAAAGACATGGATCACTTCCTGTGCCGCCTTCTTGCAGGTGAAGCCCCCCATCTTGGGTCTCTGGAGGAGTCTGGGATTCCTCTTGGCAATCAGAAGTTGTAGAGGGCATTTCTTTGAAAAGGCTAGAGTATAAGAAATTCAGAAAGCCCCCTTTTAAAGCATGTCTATTTACAACTTTCCACTGTATCTGTCAAATATAAGCATCTAACAGCCACGTGAAGACTGACAAAGTCTTGAAGTATATCCAACCATTAGCATCACAGCCACGGGCAGAGCCAAATCGAACAAGCTTTCCTTCTAAAAATGGATTTGGAATCAAAATAACCTTTTACAGGGTTGGGAGGGCAGGGTGAGGGTGGGAGAGACATAAATGCAAAACTAAGAGATTTCTCTGGACAGAAATGTCCTAAGGATGTCACAGATGACACCCTATGGGTGGAAAAAACATCATCAGAGTTCCTTATAGTGAGAGCACAGGTTGAACATCCCTCACCTGAGCATCTGAATCTGAAATGCTCTAAAATATGAATTGCTGCATAACACTATGACAAGTAGAAAATTCCACGCCGTTAAACTTTCTTTTATAAACAAAATTATTTTAAATATTTATTATTTTTATTTTATGAGTATGAATGTATTACCTGTATGTATGTAAGTGCACTTGTGCTTTGCAATGTCCAAGGAGGTCAGCAGAGGGAGTCGGATCTCCTGGAACTGGAGTTATGGACAGTTGCTAACTGTCACATGGGTGCTGGGAACTGAACCTGGGTCCTTTGCAAGAGTAGCCAGTGCTTTTAACTGCTGAGCCATCTCTCCAGGCTCAAAGAAAGTTATTTTAAAACATTGCATAAAGCCATCTTTAGGCTATGTGTGTAGGGCAGATACAAAAATATGAAGCATATATTTCATGTTTAGATGTGTGGCATCCCTCAAGATATATCATTATATATATGCAAATATTCCAAAATTTGGAAAAACTCTGAAATCTGAAGCATTTAAAATAAGGAATATTCAATGTGCATTGAAAAATGTACAAAATGGAGCCTTTGGTTATGTTTTGTACCAATTTGTCAAGAATTAAAAATGAATTGGGGACTACAGTGATGACTCAGTGGGCAAAGCACTTGCCATGTAAGCCCAAGGACCTGAGTTGGATTCCTAGAACCCAGGTAAAGCCAGGCAAGGTAGCCTGCCCCTGTAATCCTATGGCAGGATGGGATGTGGACAGGAGAATCCCTGGAAGCTCATGGGCCAATGGTGAAAAACAAGACACTGTGCCTCAAATGAGATAGAAGGGGAAGACCAAAACCAGGGATTGTCATCTGACCTCCACAAGAGCTGTGTGGTATGTACCCACAATCACACACATAAGCACACACACACACACACACACACACACACACACACACACATACACACTATGCATGCACATACACCCACACAGAGGTTAAAAATGAATTGGCAATAATTGTATTAAAATCAATATTTGTAGTAGTTTGATTGAAAATGTCCCCCATAGGCTCCAAGTATTTGGATGTTTTTATCCCCAGTTGGTGGCACTGTTTTAGGAGGTCTTAGAAGGTGTGGCCATGCTGGAGGAAGCACATCACTTTGGTGGCGGGGGGGCGGTGCTTAGAGAGTTTGTTCTTAAGCCTTGCTGGATCCCAAGTTCCTTACTGCATCCTGTGCCTGCTTGAAGATGTGAGAGCTTAGCTTCCACTCCTCCTCTAGTCACCTCTGCCACCATGCCTCCCCGGCCATGATGGACTCTTGCTCCTTTGGAACAGTAAGCTAAAGAAACTCTTCCTTTTATAAGTTCCCTTGGCCATGGTGTTTCTATCACAGCAACAGAAAAGTGACTAATACAATACTTAATATGGCAGTTGTACTTACTAGGATCTCATTGACATGTAATGGCTCTCAACTCTCTTGAAGACCCGGTCTGGACTATTGGATTCAATGGATTCACCAGAATTACTAGAATCAGCAATATTCTCCAACTAAAGCCAAGAAGAGGAGATATAAGGATGCATGTCTACCAATCAGCACAGAACCTCCTTATCCCTAAGACTGCTGCTCTGCATCTGAAGAAACACAGCCTCCACTGCATGTACAGTGGCTCTTTTTCAGAGAATATCAATGGACCTGATCCATAGGCAACTGAATTACCAGTTTCTGATATGTTCAAAGTCTGTTTTATTTCCTTCTGGGGAGCCCCCATGCTCCTTCCTAGCCACATGTATTTTACTGGTAAGCTAGGATTTTTCCTTTCTGTTTAATTTCTAGGCATTTAATGTCATGAACCCTTTCCCCAGGTGGTTGATTCTACCACAGAATCATAGAAGCTGGCTAGATCAAAGACTAGACACAATGTGGAGCTGGTCTCAGGTCGCCAAGCTCATGGGCAGTTCAAGTTGCTTTAGGGACCTCTACAGGTTTGGAAAGTTTCACCCCCATGAGGCCTTCAACCAAACTATTAAAAAGTCAGTAGCAATAAATGGTTGCTTCAAAACCCCTGACATGGGACTAGAGAGATGGCTCAGAGGTTAAGAGCACTGACTGCTCTTGCAGAGGACCCAGGTTCGATGCCCAGCACCCACATACTGGCTACAAACCATCCTTAACTCCAGTTCCAGGGGAATCCAATGCCCTCTTCTGACCTCTGTGGCATTGCACGACATGGGTGCACTCACATCTATGCAGGCAATACACTCATACACATAAAATAAAAATAATAAATAAATTTTTTTGGAAAAAAAACTCTGACATGACCAACCTAGCTCACCACTAACCTATAATTGGAAAACTGCCTTCAGTCGAGCCGGTCTTCTGCACAGGTGTCCCATTACCAAAGGTGTTCTTCCAGACCCCAGACCCCACATCTATGTGGTTTCTTTTACCTTGGACATCCCCTTTCTCTTCTTCCCATTAGAATTGTGTTCAGTTACCCCACACCCTTCATTGATCCCCTCAGCCTTCCTGATGACTATTGCACAGTTTTGTCTACTTCCCTAGATACTGTATTCCACAAAGGGCCTCCGAGAACTTCCAGCTTATAAATCAATCCTAATACATGCCTGATTGATGAGTTGTCCCAGAGAATACTAGTATGAAGATATTTGTGGTGAAAGAAGTGTTTTGTGCTCAGAAAAGCTTGAAAAATGCCTTGTGTTATGCATCACTTGGCTACTTATAATGTACAACTGCATACTAAAAGCTCTGAGAACGTGGCTGTTAAGAAACTTGCTTAAATTAGATTCAGTACTTCCACAACTGACTTGACCCCAGAATGCTTCTTTAAGTGAACATGTATCACCATCTAGTAGAAGATTTCTAGTTTTGGAGATGATGCTATTGCTCCGGCCATTTTGTGGCTCCATCTCTGACTTCATTTCACATTGTATACCTGTGTCTACCACAGATAAAGCTTCTGGGTCAATGTGCCTGGAAGTTCATTCAGATTTTGCCATTTCCCCACATAGAAGTCATCTTCATCCCTTTGCTGCCCATAGAATGATGCCAACTTGGCGATCAGTGTCCATCATGTTCTGGCTTTTTTTGTTGTTGCTGTTATTTCCTACTGTGCCCATCACGCACTCTGATTTGCAGCCTAACCAAACCGACATTCACCAGACACACAGCCAATGCCGGTGAATCTTTGAAGCCTTCCTTGATTCCAGTAGAAAGAGAAAACCTGTCCTACATCTGATGTTCTAGACTCCTTTGTGCTTCTTTGTGTAGCATTATTTTGTGGCAACTGATAGACTGTGGGCTCTGAGAGCAGGGTAATTACAGTAGCCATCATGCCTAGTACCATGCAGGGCCTAATATGTACAAGGGCTTCCAGTTGATCAATAGGCTGATACACCACACAGTGTGTTGCCCAAGGGCCTTTGCTCTTACTTTTCTTTCAGTCCAGAATGTAGAAAGACTACTAGGGTACAAATATTATCCATCAAGTAAGGTCAAATGTCATCTCCTCTATAGAACGTTCTTGGTCTTCTGCCTGAAAGTCAGCTCCCCACCTACCACCACTAGTGCGCCCCCGGGGACTGGAGAAGCGACTGTGTTCTGCACCAACCCCTCTATCTTGTACTATAGGCACCTATTCAAGCACCAGCACCACGAGCTGTCTGTCCACGTAGGATTCAGCTTTAGGGTCCCCGGGCTGCAGCCAATTGTCTCAGCAGCAGGGTGGCAGGGCTTCACAGACACGTACTGAAGGAATGAATGATCACTGGGTGGGAGGACTTACCTCTGAAAGGATGCTTCGAGGAGTGAGATAATAGCTCTCTTTTTCTGCATCTTGAATAGGTTCAGATAAGAATTCATGTAGAGGGGGAGTTTGCCTGAAGTCTGGAGACCTTTGTTCTATTAAATACTAAATAAAAATGCAGAAGAAATCAATGATTTCCTTCCTTTTTCCTTCCTTCCTTCCTTCCTTCCTTCCTTCCTTCCTTCCTTCCTTCCTGTCTTCCTCCCTCCCTCCCTTCCTTCCCTTCCTCTTTCTTTATTTCCTTTCTCCCTTTCAAATAGAATTAAACTACACATTTTTGGGAAAAGCCATAATAGATCATTGGGGCTGACCAGATCAGTGAATCTTCCAATGTTACATGCAGAAGCCAACGCAACTTGAACTTGCCTCTTGAATCTGGGTCACTTCTAATAGTGTAAATATATAAGCATTGCATTAAGCATTTTTCTTTACTATGTGGACTTATGACTCAGAACAAGAAGTTTTCTATTATGGGTGGCATTCTAAGTCACTAAGCTAAGTCATGGTGTCCCTGCCCCCATCTTTTTCCTGTTATCACCCAGCACCATCTGAGGAGGTAATTAGGCCCCTCTTTCTTCTTCTGGTTCAGGATTCTTCTTTTGTGTTTTGCTCACATACTTCTGCTGTTTCCATAGCAGTGCAATTAGGTAGTGTTGGTCATGTGACAGGATGAATTATAGGCTTCAAGGTGATGTAGGTTCAACCAATTAATTATTGCCTCCCTCCTCTAACAGATGCAAGGTACTCTACTAATGGAGCTGCTTTGTATGGCAGGAGAATTGTTATAAGGACAATTTAATTCTCCCAAGAACAATGCCTTATGGCAGGGGGCTTTGAAAAGACCCTGAATGTTCACTAGGAAATCCTGGAAGGCAACTTTGTGTGTGTGTGTGTGTGTGTGTGTGTGTGTGTGTTTGTGTGTGTAAGAGAGGGACAGAAACAAGGAGATTCATGACCTCTGATAGTTCATCCTAAGGTTTTGTTTTTGTTTTTGTTTTTTGTTTTGCTGTTCTATGAGGGTGAAAAACTAACACACATTCAGTAGAAATCATACTTCAAAATCAGAACAAGCATAATACTTTCTTATAAGTCTGGGCAGCAGTATTGACCCACTGCTCCTCTTCACCCTGTGATTACAAAGGGAAACAGCAGCCACTCAAAGTGTGCTGTGTGGCTGAGCTGTGATGTCGGCAGGTTATGGGTATTAAATGCATTTTGAAGTCATGATATTTCCAGTTTTTGTTTTCCATTGTTTGTAAGGTGTGAGCCCATCAAAAACTCCACAAGTGTTGTGTGTAAGTCTTGCTCATTTTTTAAGCTCCAAGTTTATTGTTGTGGTATGGATGTGCCCCTCCAAAAACCCATGTTGACAATTACTTGCCATCGTGACAGTATTAAGGGGTGGAGTCTTTGATGGGTGATTAGATCATGGCAGCTGCTTCTTGTATGTATGAATGCCAATGACTAAGAGAACCTTTCCTAATACCGGGCTTGAGGTTGAGCTCAGCCTGATTGCTCTTGCTCGTCCTGCCACTTGATAAGGCAGCACGAAGGCCCTTACCAGATGACACTCTTTGACCTTGAATGTTTCAGCCTCCAGAGCTGTGAAAACATTTTTTGTTTAGAAACTCTCCAGTGTATGGTATTCTGTTACAGCACCTGAAGATGGACCATGGAACTAGATTATGCTGATCTGGGAGTGAAGGGTTTCTACTGAACCAACATCAGTAACAAAGCCCAAGACAAATGGTGTCCTTAACTTGAGCTGGTTGAAAATCACTAGATCCCAATAAATAATGGGAAAAGGCTAAACATTTATTCTCCATTATCTCTGTGGAGGAAAAGGTATCTCATGAGTAAAAGGCAAGAGGCATTTGCTGAAAAAGGTTAATCTGCGAGTCCCGCCCCACGCCACTGTTTTACTTCACTGAATGGATAACTGAGGTGGGGTGTTTGGCCCAGTAAAATTAATATGCTATGAAAAGCTTTTAAAATAGTTGGAGAGCTACCAGATAGATAAAACAAGAAAATTTGCCTCATTACATATGCTTGGTACTCACAGAAGGAGTTGATGTCAGTGATGATGTCTCTGAGAGATGAAACAATATCCATGTAAGAGAATAAAGCTACCCAGCACATTTATTACTAAACAGCTTTTACCGAAGCTAGAAGCACAGCAAATCCACAAAGCTGAAGGCACAGTTACAAATGGCTTTTAAGAGGCAGGCATGTCATATTTTGCTTCCTCAAATAGACTGCATTGGGAATGGAGATGAAGTGATACTCAGTTAAAATGAAAAGCAAGACTGATGGGGTGAATGAAGAGAACTTGTGAGAAGCTCTGCCTTGCCTGAGAGCACAGCGCATAAACGGTGCAACAGAATCTTTGTGCCCTTGTGTAGAAGGAAGGGAAAGGTTGTCGGTCAAATTCGGCTTAGCAAAGGAAGCTTGGTCTGTCCAGAGCATCCAAACTGAAAATATCTTTAGAGTCAGCTGGGCAAGTGGTAACACCTACCTATGGACCGGGATATGGGCAAATATGCATAAATATTAGGGCTAGGGATTATTTTGTGTGTGTGTATGTGTGCATGCCCATGTGTGTGCAGGTGCATGTGTGTATATGTGTGTGCTTGTGTGTGCATGTTTGTGCATGTACACATGCATGTGAAGGTCAGGGGACAACCTCAGGTGTCATTCCTCAGGAGTTCTCCATCTTGCTTTTTGAGACAGAGTCTCTCACTTGCCTGAAACTTGCCAAGTAGCCATGATAGGCTGGCTGGCCAGGGATCCACTGTCTCTGTTTTCCCAGCACCGGAATTACAAGTATGCCTCACCACCTGGTCCCTGGGGCCTGAACCTAGGTCCTTGTGCTTGCCAGGCAAACACTTTTCTGACTAAACTATGCCCCCAGCCCCAGGAATAATTCTTACAGTGCATTAAGATTTGAGAAATATAGGCAAGGTCAAACTCAGTTGATAATTGGTAGGACTGTGCAACCCTGGCTGATTCCCAGGTACAGCGTCCTGATGCAGAAAGAGGGGATTTTGATTACCATGTCTGGAAGACTGGTCCTTGGTGAGGCAGAGCAGATAACCTCCGATGGGTTGGAGAGGCCAAAGAGAGGACTGGGGTCTGAAGTGGGCCTTTTGTCACCCAGTGAGGGCTTCTCCTGCTTAGGAAGAAGGAGTTTTGTAATCCTGTTTGGCATGAAGCAACAGGCCCCTCCACCACCACCTGGACTCTGCTTCTGGGGTCTCTCTAAGGCTTCCAACATCTGGACTACCCATTAGCCAGTGTCATAGCTCTAAGACAAGGGCTGATCTTGTTGGTGTGACTTCCTCCTGCTCCCAAATCCCTGTAGACACTCAGCCTGGCCTTGAGATGCCCCTGAGTGTCCCTCAGCCCATCTTTTCTACTGTGTCTCCCTCTGCACCCTGTCCTCTCTACTTCCATCAAGTCGACTTGGAGACATGCTTTGTTTTCTTCTTTTCTTTGGCATTTGTTCTAAGTGTGGAACAACCTAGAAAGCACATGCCCAAAGATACCTACACTGAAGTACCATCTGTAACTCTCTCTTTAAGAAAGGATTAAATAGACTTGCAAAGCCCATTATGAAGTCAATTAAAAACTTTACTCACCTGACATAAGACACATATTAAAATGCAAGACATATGAAAAACAATTTTTTATAGAAGCCTCCTTAGACTTATTCAAGGAACCTGGTTATGTACCTTG